GCTGGGACCGGCCATCCCTCGGGGCTTCAGAGCTGTGTGTTGCCCTGGTTCTGTGGAGATTTTGCATTTCCTGCATCCAGTATCTCTGGGAAAAGGGCTTATCTCACTCCGGGGACATTGACATCTCTCTTCCCCACCAAGGTTGCAAGGAGGCAATTTTCTCAGCCAAGAACCTTTGGGACGTGCATTCCAAACTCTCCCTGCCAGGGCCAGCCCACCTCGCTGTTTCTGACATGGAGAATCTGAGGAAGAAAGGGACCTTGTTCAGAGAAGGGAGGACAGGACGAGGGAGGATGGAGGCTGGCAGCAGAGTGCCTGAGGGTGTGGAGATGCAAGAGGTAAACACCTCTATCAAAATCAGTGTAGCAAGCCCACAGTGGGTTAAATGGAAGGACCCAGACAGGATCCTGTTCTCAGGGGCGACCCATCTAGATGAGGCAGGCATAGAAAGAATCTCACTGTGTGGCCTTTTCATTCAGCCCCGCACCCCTTCCTCTAGCCCATCAGCACACGATTATTTCATTTCTCTTGTGTGCCGGGCACACGCTATGCCCTGGGAATGCCGGGTCAGACGTGGGCACCCTTGACTTGTGGGGCATGCTGCCAAATAAAAAATCATGTGACAAGTGCCATGAAGAGGACATACAGGGACCCTGACCCAGTGCCATTTCACCCAGGACTTTAGTCAGGTGTGAAAATGGAGAAGCATGTTTTTTTTCCCCTGTGTATTTGCAGGAGTCCTGATACATCCTGGATACCAATCTTTGCCTGGTTATCTAGGCTGCAGATACTTCTCTCAGCCTCTGGGTTTATCTGTTCATTGTTGAGGTGTCTTTTCTGTATGTTTAGCATTTTAGTGTAGTCGAATGTATCTGTGTGTTTCTTTATGGTCATTGCACTGTGTGTGTGTGTGTGTGTGTGTGTGTGTTTAAATACACCTTTACCTATTCTAAGGTATAAAGATATTTTCTTCTAAATGTTTTAAAGTTTCTCTTTCCTTTAGGTCTTTGATTCATCTATTATATGGTGTGTGTATGTGTGTGTGTACGTGCGTGTATTAGGAATGTAATCTTATTTTATTCGTCTGTATGGATGGCCCGCTGACCAGCAACATTTGTTAGAACTGTGGTAAAATTCATATAACATAAAATTCACATTTAAAATGGTTCAGCCATTTTAAAGCGTACAAATCAGTGGCGTTTAGAGCGTTCACAGGGTCGTGTGACCATCGCCATCTGGTTCCAGAGCATTCTCCGTCACCTCTCAAAGAAACCCCCAACCCACAGAGCAGTCTCACCTGCTCCGCCTCGCCCAGCCCCCGGCGACCACTTATCTGATTTCTGTCTCTGTGAATTTGCCTATGTGGATTATTTTATATAAATGGGATTATGCAACATGCGGCCTCTTGTGCCTGGCTCCTGTCGTTTAGCATAATGTCTTCCAGCTCCCTCCGTGCCTGCAGCGTGGATCAGCACTGCGTCCCTCCGGAGGCTGCCTGATGTTCCATTGCATTGTTTGTCCACTCCTCAACCGGCAGACATTCGGGCCGTTTCTACTTGTCGGCTACTGTGGACGGTGACGCCATGAGCACTCTCGTGCGAGTTTTTGTTTGCACGCTTCCTTTCCGTTCTTTGAGGCCCGGCAACACTTGTGAAGAGTCTGCTTTATCACCCACTAATCTGTGGTTCCTCCTCTGTCGCACGCTGCGCTCCCACACACGTGGGTCTCTTTCTGGCTTCCTCATTCTGATCCCTTGGTCTAAAAATGTCATGAACAAGACACTGCTTTTGTTGTTAGAGCTTCACATCTTTTTTTTTTTTTCTTTCTTTTTGGAGACAAGATCTCTCGCTCTGCCGCCCAGGCTGGGATGTAGGGGTGCAATCATAGCTCCCTGTCACCTCAAACTCCTGGGCTCAAGTGACCCTCCTGCCTCAGCCTCCTGGGCACTACAGGCATGCGCCACAGCACTCGGCCTTCATGGTACATCTTCATAGCTGGTTGAGCAAGTGCCCAATCCTCCCCTCCCTGTGTCCTGTTAAAACCGTCTTGGTTAAATGTGGCCCTTTGCTCTTCCATATGAATTTTAGGAGCAGCTCATCAAGTTCCACAAAAATTTCCTTGGGATTTTTTCTTTTTTTTTTGAATTTATAGTTGATTTGAGGAGAACTGCCATCTTTGTGATGTTGACGCTTTCCCTGCACACTCACAAGCCTTGTCCCTCCCACCTCAGGACATTTGCACCTGACTCTGCTTGGGCCACGCTCCCCCAACTCTGCCTCATCAATTCCCTGCTGCTGCTCCGGGCTCAGTCCTCCCAGCGGCGGGACCCTCCGCGCCTTATGGCTCCCTCAGAGCCTGAGCACCATCGCTCTGGAATTATGAACCGAGTGGTTCTTGGTTTACTACCTGCTTCCCAGTCGGCCGCAAACTCCTCCTACAATGCTGCCTAACTTGTTCACCTTGGCGTCAGCCCGCAGGACACGGGCCGGCTGGCAGATAGCAGGGTCTCTATCCATGTCTTCTGTCTCAATGTCTGTCGCTTAAAGGAGACACAAGAGGAAGCTCTTCTGCCCTGGGGCATTTGGTCACATGCAGAAGGATGGCAAATAAAGTTACCTTCTTCCCTGAGCCTCTGCTTTTCCCCTGGAAAAGGGAGATGTGATTAGTATCTACGTCCCTTGGGGGGGGGGGGGCTGAGCATGAAAAGCGTTCCTGTGTATAAAACATGCTTGGAGCAAAGTCTGTCCCGGGGTCAGAGCTACCTGGGGGCTCACCTGCCGCACACCTCCTCTCCGTAAATTCTTCAGCCTCACCTTCCTGTAATGCTCTGATGGCTCCCAAGCCCTTTCCTGAAGTCATCCCATTTTGATTTTACTTCTGTGAATCAGTCGTCTTACCTCCATTTTGCAGATGATGCAGATGAGTCTCAGAGGGGAAGAATGACTCATCTAAGGCCTCACATCTAGAATTTCTAACCCCAAACCCAATGCTCAGAATCTTTAAAGTGTTTTCCCGCTCAGTCAGTCAGCAGAATGGCTAGTTCCACTTTGAGAACTATATGGCTCCTCTCAGATGGGGAAAAAAAAAAATCTAACAGGCCCACAGTATTGACTTACATTACTTTTATTTTATTTTTATTGAAACAGGCAGGTATAAACCTAAGATTAAGCCTGAACTTCTCATGCTCATTGCTCTAGAAACCAACCATAAAACCAAAACAAATCTTCAAATTAAATACAAACACAATCACAAAACCAACGAAATAATTCAAATTAACAACATTAAATCAAGTGACAAGATTAAACCTGCGACATTGGGTTTAGTGGTGGCAGAGTAGTGTTTTGTGATGTTTTCTTGTTTCCTGTATATGCTGCCTTCTTCCCCCCACCCCCACACACACCTTTTTTAATAGGGTCTTTACAGAGATAAGTCATCTTCTTTTGGTTTTGGTCATGCTGGGCCATCATTTGAGCCACCATCGTATTCATACCATTGTTTTCTTAAAAAAAGAAAAAGAATTTATAATACAGTTTGATGGGCCAAGCAGTTTAAACAATGCGTTCCCATTCTCTTCATGCAATAAAGAAAAGTGGGGAATAATGCATAGCATAACATCACTCATTGCATATTTGCTGCGGTGCTCACCACTAATGAACTATTGCAAGTGTGTTCACAGAAGACGATAATGGCCCAATTTATCTTCCAGCAAAGGGCCCATTGTGCTGGCTGCAGTGGAGTCTCATTCCTGAGTGTGGGGCTGGGGAGTCGCTTCTCCCACCACTTTACTCCCCTGAGCCCACAGGGAAATTCCATGCTCCCACATTCCCGATGTCACCTGGCTCACCTGTAGGCCGAGCAAGTCCTTCCAGTATGCAATCAGGCCAGTGTTCCTTTCTTATTAGCACGAGACCATTGAAATTATACATCATGTCTGTGCTCCGTGCCATTTTCAGGATGTCAAATGACAGTTCCAATACATTCAATTATTTAAGAAGCTAACTAGTCTACGAAAATGACACTCGGTGGCAAATGGTCCTGGCAAAAGGAAGTTTTGACTTTCCCACCCTAAAGGAGATCCTTATGAGCCCGAGGGCGGGAATGAGATGAGCCTCCTGGTAACCAGGGTAGGATGAGCAGACTGAGCCCCCCAGGTGCAGCTGATCAGAAGTGAGTCGCTTTCACAATAAGCACGGAAGTGCAAACACTGAAATGGGAATTTTTGGGTTCTCCTCTGATTAATTCTAGTAGAGATTTGCTGCACAGCCCAGGGCTGTGTAGAGCCCCATTTGTGAAACTCAGCGCTCAGAGATCGCTGTCAGTGAACGAACCCGGGGCAGGCCGGGTGCTGGGTGCTGGGTGCCTGATGGCGAGCCCCTCCTTTCCGGAGCTCGGGACCTGGGGGCCTCCAGCCAGAGCCCGCTGGCCTGTCGCTGTCTACATTTTTACTCTTCCTTCCTGGGAAACAAAGGGTGGATCAGACCTCCCAGGCTCTCGGCTTCCCCCCGTGCTTGGCCGAGTGCCAGGGCGCCGAGGCCCCTCCCCGCAGCACAGGGTGACAGACCCCAGCCCACCCTCCAGTGCCCCTTCCCTCCTCCACCGCCGCCACCAGCATCACCGCCACGTGCAGGCCGGAGAAGGCAAAAGAGGCCCAGCAACGTCATCAGGGATTTTATTTTCTATTTTTGCTGGTTTCAGGCTTTTTTCTGCCTGAGTGAAAATGAAACAAATGCCCCCTCCCTCCCCCGGCACACACACTCTCACTCTGGCTCACGCACCCGCGCGGCCGGCCTCCCAGCTGCCTGCGTCCGGGGCGGGGACCGGCTTGGCACCGACCGCGCGGGCCGGCCAGGGGGAGCGCGCCGGCCTCGCGCCCCGGCCGTGCGCGCTGCCCGCGGCCCGGAGCGGGGGCGCGCCCGGCGCGGCCACGGCGGGAGCGCCGCGGGCACGCCCCGCCCGGCACGCCCGGCCCGGCCCGGGCGGAGGCAGCGCGCGGCGCGGATCCGCCGCGGAGGGCGCCGCGGGAACGGAGCGAGGCGCGGTCCTGCCCCGGCGCCACTCGCCGCGCGCCCGCCCTCGGCGCCCGCGTTCTGCGGATCAGGTGGGTCCCGCGGGGCGCCGGCCGAGCCCCAAGGCTGCGAGCCGGGCGCGGGGCGGCCGGACCCCGGGCTCGGCGCGGGGGCGGGCATGGCGGGGGCAGCGGGGCGGGCCCCTGCTCCGGCCCAGCCCTGCTTCTGCCCCGCCTGTGTCGCTGCTTTTGTTCTTGTCGCTACCTCTGTGTCCAGACCGGACCCGGTCCCTGTCCTCCTCCTGTGCCCGTCGCTGCGTCTGTCCAGCCTTCCAGACTGTTGCCCGAGGGTCTGGGGTCGCGGTCCCCCACAGGGTTCGCGGGAGCGGGGGGAGAGGGGAGACTCAGCGGGCGCGGGGTGCGACCCAGCAAGTCTCGAAAGGAGTGAGGGGTCTGTCCCCGTCTGTGGGCAGGACAGAGGCATGGCTCGTGCCCAGCACGGGAGCGAAAGGGGGTGCCTCTGGGAGTGGGGAGCTGGCGGGGGAGGGGTAAAGTTGGGGCGCAGGGACCCTGGGGAGCAGGGCATCTGAGGAAGATGTCCCGGAGCCGGGGACCACGCCGGGAACCCAGCGCAGGGAAAGTTTCAGACACTGTAACTTTGGCAGCCAGCGTGCCCGCCGCCTCGGGGTGATGGGAGGCAAAAAGGCTCCCTCGCCAGCTCTTCGTACCACCTCGCCCCCGCTTGAGACGGACGCCACCCGCGTTTGAAAATGGCACGAAAACAGCCAAACAGAATGGTTGCACAAACTCTTGAAAAGCGTCCAAGAAACAGTAAAGGGGAAGAAAATGTCAGCGCACGGGGAGAGAGAGAGAGCAGGCAGAGCAACTGAGTCCCCACGTCCCCGCAGTGGCAGGCGCGAGGGAGGGGCGAGGCGCGGAGGGTGTCACCGCCGCTCCTCCAGGAAGGAACCGAGGCCCAGGCCGCCGTTTCTGTGGCTTTGGTTGTGGTTCGCACTCCTGGCTCCAGAGCAGGCCTCGCTGCCTCCTTCACTCACCTGGGACTAGGTGTGTCCCTGGAGGCAAGAGGCGCAGGGTGGAGCCCCCGCCTGGCCGCTTCCCAGCTAGGAGACACTTCCCGAAGGCCGTCAGACAGGATGCTGCCGGCCACCGCGCTTCCAGGCTCCCAGTAAGAAAGCGCAAAGCGCCTTGCGCATGGTGAGGGGCTCTGGGGGGCTGGGGTGTAGAGGATGCGGTTGTTCTGTTACACTTCTGTGCTTCTTGGGCTACACGAAGCACTTTCTGCTTTGTTCGGAGTTATCTCTAGGTGTCCTTTCGGTCTCCTGCCAGATGCCGGGCAGGCTGCAGATCCAGGTTCTCTGTTAGGAGTAACAGGTGCTCAATGAACTGAGTGAGGCAGAGCTGAACGAGTCCCTAGGGTTTACCCGGTCCCACGATTTCAAACTGTGTCCATGAGAGCCTGAGGTCGGGGAGGAGAACTGAGAGGACAGGGTCTGGCCCCTCCCTACCTTATTTTAGGTAGAGCCAGTTCAGTTCTGCCTTTATCTATCTCCCCTACCTATTGGGAAACCCCAGAGGGTGTTTTTTGGTAACAAATTCCCCAGATCCAGTCTGATCTGGTCATTTACCGCAGAGTAGCTGCGGTCAAGAGGGGTGCACAGGGATCTGGGCAAGGTCCTCCAGTGGCCAAACCTTACCAGGAAACCTGCCTCCTAAGTCACAGGCCAGCAGTGGCCTTTCTCGGGCCGAGGTGGCTCTGAGCAGCCATTTCTGTAGATGTTAGCACCCGCTCACCTACACCCTAACTCCAGGGCCCCAGGGCTGCCTTCTTACCTGCAGCCTATGAGTAATCCTCTGAGCACTTCCAGGCCTTTAGTGGGGCAATTTATGTGACTTTGTTTTACAAATTAAGGTCAAAATGAATTAGGTTCCCTACCCTCTGGGGTAGGCTACGTGTCACTATCCCATTTTATAGTTAAGGAAATGAAAGCTCAGAGAGGCCAAGTAACTCACTCATGGGCACTCAGCTATTAAATGGCAGCTGGGATTTAAATGCTCTTCTTTCTGGCTCTAAGGCTTGTGCTCTTTCCATTACATTATCTCTCAGGAGGGCTAGAAAATAGGCAATGGACAGGTGTCATGGAGACGGGGCAGAGGTGAGGGGAGAACGGCTGAAGCAGGGGTGCATTAAATGGAGGCTGAGCATTCGAATAGGTGCATTCCTTTTTTTTTTTTTTTTTTGAGACAGAGTCTCACTTTCTTGCCCAGGCTAGAGTGAGTGCCGTGGCGTCAGCCTAGCTCACAGCAACCTCAATCTCCTGGGCTCAAGCAATCCTACTGCCTCAGCCTCCCAAGTAGCTGGGACTACAGGCATGCACCACCATGACTGGCTAATTTTTTGGTATATATATTTTTAGTTGGTCAATTAATTTCTTTCTATTTTTAGTAGAGATGGGGTCTCGCTCAGGCTGGTTTTGAACTCCCAACCTCAAGCAATCCGGCCGCCTCGGCCTCCCAGAGTGCTAGCTAGGATTACAGGCGTGAGCCACCATGCCCAGCCGGTACATTCTTAATATTATGCACATACAATTTTATTTGAAATGAATGTGGTTTCTGCCCTGTACTTTTTCTATTTTAGATTTGTTTTATGGACATCTAAAAATTATTTTTCTAATTTTTAAGTAAAGTACAATTTTTCTTCTTTTTTTAAAATTTTTACTTTAATAATTTACATTTTCTTTTTCTCTTTTATTTAATGGAGATTTTCTAGGTCTAAAGTAAAGTACAATTTATATACATACAATCCACAAATCTTACATGTTTGGTTCATTGAGGTTTGACAGTTTGTTTATACCTTTGTAACCACCTCCCTGCCAAATGAAACATAAACTATTTACGCAACCCCACAAAGTTCCCATTTCTGATTAATTTTCCTTCTACCCTTCCAGGCAACCATTTTCTGATGATATCATCACTGATTAATTTTGTCTGTTTGTGGACTTCATGTGAATGGAATCACACCGTATGTACTCTTTCATGCCTGGCTTATTTCATCCGTAATGTTTTTGAGATTCGTCTGTGTGGTTCCGGGTATGAGTAATATGTTCTTTGTTGTTGCCGAATCGTATTCCATTGTATGGATGTACCACAATTTGTTTCTCCCTCCTGTTGTTGGTGAACATTTGGGTTATTTCCAGTTTCGGGCTATTATGTGAACATTCCTGTACAAGTCTTTTGTGAACATTTGTTTCCACCTAGGAGGGAAATTGCTGGGTTGTAGGGTGTAGCATTTTACACTCCCACAGCAATGTATGAGAATTAGGATTACTCTCCATCCTTGACAATATGTGGTATTGTCAGTCTTTTTGATTTTAGCCATTTTAGTGACTATGGAGTGGTATCCTATTGTGATTTTTACTTTCTATTTTTTATGATTGAATTTTAAGAGGTTTTGGAGAGGACAACATAAGTGGGGGGTAGAATATGAAATAAAATGGTGATGTGGATACCATAATGGGCCATGACTTGGGAAGGAGAGAACCAAATGGTGGTTGTCATAGTGACCTTAGAAATAGGGGGTTCTCTGTGGCCCCACTGGCATTTAAAGAGCTGGAGCTTATAGTCCATAAGCTGGGAAAATTCATCCATCTTCCTGGCTGTAAATGCCACTTCTATGACACTCATCTCCAGTTTTGGGCTCCCAATCCACATATTTAACTTCCCACTGGGCATCGCTTTTTGGACATCTCAAAAGGCACTGCAAACTCAATAAGTCTGGACTAGAATTATCTCACACCCAATAAAAGAAGGTTCCACTAGGTGAGACGATAAGGAAGGAGGAATGTTTAGGTGGGGAGAGATAATGAACTTAGTTCCCTGCCAAAGGGTGCAGAGCATTCCAGGAAAGTAAGGACTGGCAGTTGCACTGGGCAATTAGGAGATTACTGAAATCTACTTCGAGCAGTTTGGGTGGAGTGGAAGAAAGAAGCTGGATTGCCTATGGGTGAGAGGGAGAAACGGACACAGTGAGTATGGTCAGCTCTTTTCAGAAGTTTGTTTGAGAAGGTCGGGAGAGAGATTGAACTGCAGCTGTGGTGAGACAGGGTGAAGGAAGGGGTTTTAGGAAGAAAAAGACTAGTATAGGATGGGGGGAGGGTTCAGTCCAGGAGAGGGAAGGGATAATGGATAGAACAAGTTGCTAGGAGGGACAGGAGGCAGAGGGGAGGGATGATTTTGAAAGAGAATGAATGACTCCATCTCTTGGGTCTTGGGACATGAGTAATTGAAGGTGAGAAGATTCATCAATTAAAACAATCTAAGGTTCTTCACAATCTGCACTTCTCATCTCACGTCTATCATGCATATCAGGTAGCTATTGCTGTAGCCATACTGCATAACAACCCCCAAATCTTAGCTTTTGCCCACAAAGTTCTATTTATTATTCACATAACACGTCAGCTGCAGTGCAGTAGTGGTTGCATGGTTTTGTGGCTCTGCTCTAGGTGCCAGCCAGACATAAGATTTCTCTAGTGTCTTCTCAATTCCTGGACCCAAGCTGCTTCTGTCTGGTGTATGTTATTTTCTTGGTGAGAGCTGGAGCAAGAAAGAGATGACATGATGACTCTTATTGCCTCTGCTCTGAACTGGCACCCTGTCACTTCCACCTGCTTTGCATTGTCCACATCCAGCTGTAAGTGTAAGTCCAAAGTCAACTGGGAAGAGATACAGACGATGCCTATTGGCGGTATATTGGATACTAAGGAACAATAATCCAGTTGTCTGTATATGTCTGCTAATAACTCCACAACAGAGATCTCCAGCCTAATCTCCATCTCTTTGGTACAATTGCTCAAACATGGCAATGCCCTTTCGAGTCTCTACACCTTTGCACATGTGGGAGTCATCTCCCACTCCCTCCCCACTGTCAAATCTGTGACCTGGTTTGCATGATCCCACCTCTCCACCAACTGTCCCAATAGTCCTTTTAGTTCCAACCCGGCTGCCCCTGCGTAGCTCAGGCACACCCCTCCAGCCTGGCCCCAGCTGTTACACTCTCTCTGCTGTCTGCTCCAGGCTTGTCCCCTCCAGTTCATCCCTGTGTCCCCACCGCGAAAGTCTTCTTCCCAGACCCCAGACTGATGGGGTTTTTTGGTCTCTCTGAGGCTCCCCACTGACCTCAGGATGAAGTACATGCTCCTTGGTGTGACAGCCAAGGTCCTGCCAGAAAACTTCTCTCCTTCATTGCCCTGCCCCTCTGAACCTCTATCCAGCCTCAGGGAACCACTGCAGTCCCCACTTCGGCTGGGCTGCTTCCCTGGCTGCTCCCTCTGCCTGGACCGTCCTCCTCCCTCCCTCCCAAATCGACCTGCAGATCCCTCCTTATCTTCCAAGACCCAGCTCAGTCGCCACCAATCCCTTCCACCTGCCTCTGATGGACCAGACTGGCACTCTCCCCCAGCACCCTGGGCACACTGCAGGGTGGCACCGTTTGCCACCTGTCACAGTTTTTTCCCTCCTCCACTGTGAGCTGCTGCAGCCAGACAGCACAGCACACTGTTCTCACGACCACAGTGCTCTTTCCTCTGCACGGCACCCTCTGGGAGTGAAGGGCGGCCTCAGTCTAATCCTTAAGAGCACCCAGAGTCTGCTGATGGGTGTCTGACATTCGCTCCTGAGAGGGAGGCCAGTTGAGCTAGTTTGGGAAGTCCAAACAATGATGTTGATTTGGTCCATGGACTGAAGGCAAGGAGGTCATCATTTAGCACACTTAACCCAGAATGATTTCTAAAAGTCCTTTCAATTCTAAAAAGAGGAAATAAAAATATATTATCTAAATCTCCAGCCAAAGAGTCAATCTCGGCTTGTCCAAGCCACAGAACCCCATTACCTGCATTCAGACCCGGCCATGGGAGTTTCCCAGACTTGGGCTTCGCAGCCATTATGCTAATTTTTATGGCTGCACAGAGTCTCATAAAGCAGAGGCGATGACGGCAGTGCATGGAGATCCAATGTCCCATGCTCACATTTTTGTGCCACAGGGAAACCCTGTGCGGACTTTGACAAGGGACTTTGGTGGTGGGCATGTGCTTCCTCTGGTTCCTCTCCGAAGCTACGTGCAGTTGGCAGATGTGAATGACAGGAACAAGCATGGAGTTGCCACTTGGGCCAGGGTGTAGCTCAGACAGCGAGTGATCTGGGATGCAGGAGGAGCTTCCAGAGAGAGTGAGTGTGCAAAGCTGAAGGAGGAGGGGTTTCCAGGAGGGCATGGCCACGTGGGATGAGTGGCGCAGAGAGGTCAGGCAGAGAGAAGGGCCCTGGAAGAGATCAGCTCACTGTGAGTTGACAGCAAGATCCTGGGGAAAGTGGAAAAATAATTAAGGAATTATTACGATTAGAGTTCTCTACAATGAGGCCAGGCACAGTGGCTCATGTCTGTAATCCCAGCACTTTGGGAAGCTGAGGGCCAAGCCAGGAGGATTGCTTGAGGCCAGGAGTACAAGGCCAGCCTGGGCAATGTACCAATGTACCAAGGCCCCATCGTCCCCCCACCAAAAGAAGAGTTCCTTAGACTGGTCCACAATTTGAGAAGTGAGACTATGTACTCATTTCATGTGAGTCTCACAAAAGCCCTGTGAAAGGCCGGGCGCTGTGGCTCACGCCTGTAATCCTAGCTCTTGGGAGGCTGAGGTGGGCGGATTGCTCAAGGTCAGGAGTTCAAAACCAGCCTGAGCAAGAGCGAGACCCCGTCTCTACTATAAAATAGAAAGAAATTAATTGGCCAACTGATATATATATAAAAAAATTAGCCGGGCATGGTGGCGCATGCCTGTAGTCCCAGCTACTCGGGAGGCTGAGGCAGGAGGATCGCTTGAGCCCAGGAGTTTGAGGTTGCTGTGAGGTAGGCTGACGCCACGGCACTCACTCTAGCCTGGACAACAAAGTGAGACTCTGTCTAAAAAAAAAAAAAAAAAAAAAAAGCCCTGTGAAGTTGGTAGAATAGAAATTATTTCCCATTTTATATGTAGGGAAACTGAGGCTTAGAGTTTTAATTTCTTGATCAAAACCACTCAAGAATTTAGTGACAGAACTGAGGCATGAAAGCCGGGTCTTGACTCCCAACACAGTGTGGCTTGGAGCCCCGGGTAGGTGCTGGCGAGGGGATGAAGGTAGCTCTGAAGGTGGTAGCGGCTGTGATCTTGGCTGGGGCCCAGGGGAAGGCTCCTCCCTGGCATTGTTGGTTCTGAAACCAGCCAGAGAGAGCGAAAGGCAGCAACTGGGAGAGGCTGGGGAGGGAGAGGCCAAATCTCTCGATCAGTTGTTTTTCCGAGACAGTCTCGCTCTGTTGCTCCAGGTGCAGTGGTGTCATCATAGCTCCCTGCAACCTCCAAGTCTTGGGCTCAAGGGATCCTCCTGCCTCAGCCTCCCTGGTAGCTGGCACTACAGGTGCGTGCCACGATGCTCAGCTTATCATTCTACTTTTAGTGGAGAAGGGGCGGGGTCTCACTCTTGCTCAAGCTGGTCTTGGACTCCTGAGCTCAAGCAGTCCTCCCACCTTGGCCTCCCAGAGTGCTGGGATTACAGGTGTGAGCCACCGCGCCCGGCTTTGATCAGTTCTTAATAAGAATGTTTCAATCCATTTCAGTCTGGGTGCTCTTGTCTTGGGAGCCTTGCTTTTAATGCCCTGGACTTGGCTCCCCTTAGGGCTGGGGCACTGGAAAGGGATCTGGGTTGAAGGTGAGGTGGTCACATCCCACCGGGTGTGGTGCTACCAGCTGTGGTTGCTGGGGGAGCCTCAGTTTCCTTGTCAACCAAATGGCACAAGGCACAAGTCTAGCAAAGCTCCCAGAGCAATCCCTGCTATTAAGCAAAAAACAGAAAAATGTCCAAACCCATAGGAAATGGATGCTCAAACCCAAAACCTGTAAGGGAGATGCAGCTGTTGTGCACAAAGGAATCCCAAGTTTTTGGCTTCCTCTTGCCAGTTTTGGCACCAGAAACTGAGCTTCTGGAAGATACACCTGT